CTGAATTTTAAAACTAACTAAACTTGCCCATCCATCCATCTGCTGATAAGGTTGTAGACATTTTTATTGTTATCCACTCACCCTTATCTCTCCTACGTAAGGAAAGCGTAGAGAGAGAGAGATGATATTGTCTCCTGGCATCTCAACAATGTGACGATCAGCACGACGATAACTGTGTCGGAGAGCGTTTATAATTTCAACTTTCTCACGAAGACAAGACTGAATTCCTCACCTTCACGAGCACACAAAAAAAGGATAACTTTGATGAAAGATGTATCACTTTGCAACTGTCAAACTCAAGCCACGACACAAATTTTAGGTGAAAAAAAACAGTTCGAATTTACAGGGTGTCGTGTTTTTTAAGACGTACTTTACCCATGTGAAAATCAACCTAGTGAAAAATTTCATATTTTTTCATACAAGACGTGTACAATTCTGTACAATGTGGAAATATGCAGGATGACTCGTGTAGAAATTTTCTAGAGGATTATGCACTTTGGCCAGAAAAATGGACCGTTTTTTTCGATTTTGTGCCCACGCCAATTAAAAAAAACACCATGTCGGTAGCAACCCTGTCACTTTCGGCAAGCGTTTTTATCTGGTCAAGTATTTACAAAGTAGCGACACAGCTACCAACTCTTTTTTACAGATGGTTGACGTATCTCTCTTGTCCAACTCTTTTTACAATTACGCCCTGCTCACTACCAACTACTGGAGTTGCCACTTTAATATTATGCATGTCACAATCTATCTCCGTCATTAAATTGTTGCCTACTCTCCTTCACCTTTTTCGAATCATCAATCAATTTACGGTCAAAATCTCTACTTATCGATCCTTCGTGCACAAATGTGCACATAGGTAAATGGCGGTTCAAAAAAACTTGCAGTTTTCTGTGCAAATATATTTCTCCTTTGATCTCGTGCTTATCAGGATTATGTATCCGGGGAAAATAACATGTAAAAAAAAGAACACACATTTTTTTTAGAAAACTTTAAACTTGTATAGTTTCAAAACGTACCATTTTTTACGGTTTTTCCAGCCGAGCAATATGTGCATAAATAAATAACGATTCTTGCATTCCACACGAAAGAAAGCAAGATAACCTTCAAAATTTAAACGCCGTCCAAATCCAAACGAGCTCTACTTTCTCTTCGACTGCCTTTTAGGAGAAAACATTGCAGAAAAAGATGCAATGTCATGCTCGAGAAGGGACGAAATCAGAGAAAGAACTCCAACTGGACGTAATGTAGGAGAAAATAAGCTCCCAACTCCCATGTATGTACTACATACATAAAATTCGAACAGAATGCGAAAAAAGGTTGCGAACATGGATATCAAGTCAGACAGAGGGAACTATGTATACATTTTGGTTAATTTAGCCTCACGCAGGGCATCAGCATCTAGAAAAGTGATGACATAACATCTCTTCGCTGCTCAAAATGAACACAATGACTTCTTACTTATTATGCAAGTGAGTGAACCGTTGTGCATGTCGCAACTGTAAAACAAAAAGGAGTGAAAGAGTCGCACATGACAATGCGTGCGTATAAAGAATGCATGTCCCGATACGTAATAAAATGCATGACACACCATAATCAAGTCTACAAGGTACCAAATTTACATAGGTATGCACATGGCAAAATCTGATAACCAACAAATCCTCGAGTACTCGTGTCAAGTTATATGGATCTGAATTTCGCATCATTTTCAACACCTACATATTAATTGACTTACTGGACAACGTCTCATCTGCCAAGTGGGGCACAAAATAATGGTAAAAAATCACACTTTATGCGGAAAGAATTAGTGATTTTTTGTTTGTCAATTTTGACCCATGTTACCTCAACCCCGCTTCATCTACATACACACATGGTCCTACAAGATATAGTGAACTGAATATGGATGTACCAAGCGTTACATACATCAAAGTATGATGACGTGTACAATGCAATCAGTGCAATTCTGAGTGGGGAACACATATTATCGTCAGAGAAATTCAATCACTTTCGTCTTCAGGAACAGGCCCCCATCCATACGCTGCGGATCACTTTATTCTATGAGATCTCTCTCTCTCTCCGCCTGTCAACGTGTTTCAGATCTCTTTTCATTTCACTACTCGCTCTCTCTCATCAAAGGAGAGAGAGAATTTTAAAGGCGGAAGACCTCTCGGTACGGATTACATGTATTTCCCGGCAGCCTCTCTCCTGCCGTGGAAGGCGTGCCTTTTCCTTTATCCGAGAGATGCTTTTTTCCATGAGCAACTCTTTCCCTTCAATCAATTCTTCGCTGCTCGCTTTTGTACAAGTGGTGCTGGTGGTGGTGGTAGAAAAGCTGGCAAAAAAGGAGAGAAATTTGATCAGTTTCCATTTCAGGAGCCCATTTTATGTAGCTGCAACGCGACGGTAAACCAAACCACGGGTGGGTTTGATCCAATCCAATCGGTGCAGTGATAGGATCCATGACCAGGTCGGTCTTGTACCGTATTTGTCACACGGCATACACGGAACGATTACTAGTCTACCAATAAATAGGCGATTTATATATTACAATAGAATGGTAAAATTAAGGCAGAAACTTTCACCAGAAAAAAAGGGGAAAAAATGAAACGAGAATTGTTATAGTATTTGTTGTGGAATTTTTACTTAAATGCGATTTTTGTTCTATCTGGAGAAAACTAATTTACGTTAAATCATCGATAGTAAAAATCTCTTAAAAATACATCCGTCCTAGTAAATAATTAGTGTAAGCCTAAATCCTCCGTGTGTAGTAAACGGTCAAGATGAGAAAGAACTTGCATACCAATGAGATTATCCCCATTTCATAATGCCCATAAATAATCCTACTTCAGTAAGTCCCAGTAGTCGATAATGGAAGACGTTTTTTTATAAAAACACCCAAAAATACGCTTTCCATATTTTCCACAATTTTTAACACTGTAAAATTAAGAGACGCAGACTCTTATGGAACTGTACGTACCATTTTTGCGGACTTGTTAAATTTATCAAATTTGTTTTACAAAAATTAAGTGCATATTTAAGTTGGAAATTCCGGAAAAATTCAAATGTCTCTCACCCCTCAGAACTTTAAGTAACCATCACTTGACGAATCCCCCCGAAATAATTGTAAGATGCACTGGTGTGCATAAATAAATTTGGCCCAAGCACAAGTGCTCAACCCTGTCCAGGCTGTGTGATAATTACAGAGAGCCATGTATAAAAATTATGCTGGGCGTGAGACAAGACCACACCACTAGAAGGAGAAGAAGAAGGAAAATGTATCATTAATTTGCAGTCGGGCCCCTCCCCCTCCGTCAGGTATGTTTGTTTAAGCCATTATATACGACCCAGCAGTGCCTCTCTCGTGGTGAACAAGGGACAGGTAAATAAATAAATGAGGGGTGAAGAGATGCATCCGTAAAAGCGATAAACTTCTGCAGACTATTTATGACTCATCCTATCATACAAGGACTAATAAATTATTGAGGCTATAAAAAGGTAAAAATTGACTACAAGACATCCCATACGAGATCTGGATACACGTAACATTATACATTTTACGCGTGAGCAGCAGGAGCAGCAATAATAATATAACCCAGAGACAATAGGGAGAAGAAAAGTCGAGATTTTTTTACCAAAACATGCTACAAATTCCTACCAAGCAATAATAAATGCAAGTAGAAATTCTTATTGGGGACCCTCCATGCCGTATAGCTTTGGGACGAACCAGTTTTTCCCATTTGGACAAGTTGCGTGGAAAAATACCGTTTTTCATGTATACCCCATCATCACCCAACTTAAAACAAACAACACTTTAGTTACTAACTTATATCTAAAAATTATTGGAGACGTGAAAAAACATCCACCACCACCAAATCCGACATGATTTACACAAATGGACACACCATCACGCCGAAATTATGACGGTATTCAAATTCCCATCCATTCTAGAAAATAAAATAAATCCCCACCACGTCCAATACCTTGTTAAAATCTTACACAATTTTTACCCCCATCAAAACTAATGTATTTTTATAATAGCCACTTAAATACGAACGGGCCCATTACACGATCGTAATTCGTCTCATCCCCCAAGCCCCAATTTATTGAGTAAAAATCTGAATAAATACCATAGAGTTCAGAAATCCAGGGGAGAAATAATATCCAAGATCGTGAAGATCATGATGATCATCTATCTATGTATGTATGCACAAGTACGTAATTAAATTAAGGGGAGAATGCAGCATAAATAAATTCCACGAGGACAAGTAGTATCATGTCACTGGATACATTTTTACTAAATAAATCCTTCCGAAATTCTTGTCCCAACTTTTCCCCGAGATTCCTTCCCCTAAAAAAATAAAGGTATTTACTTGACTCACACTCAAGTAAAAAGAATGTGTCCGCAGCAGCAGCAAAAAAATGCCGACAAGACGAACCGAGTGCGCAATAATATAAGTTTGCAAGGCAAGTAAAAGACACTGCGATGACATGAAGTGACAAGAAGTGAGTGTAAACCTTTCTCACATTTTATGACCATTGTTGTCTCGTCGTCACACATATTTATTTGTTTTAGGTCGAGTCGCCACTAGTTAGTTGGTCCATAAAAAAGGTGCACATCACGGGTTTTTTTAGCAGGGAGGTGAAAGGGCTGGATGATGAAGTGTCTCTCGGAGACTGAAAAGTCAGCGGGAGGGAGGACGAGATGCGGACGGAGATAGTGTAGACACTTGAGAAAACAAGGACAATGCTGGCAAGTCATCTCTCTCTCTCTCTCTGACGTCGTCACTCATATCGCGGTCACACCATTTTTTGTGGTGGGGTTGGACCATTAATTAAATGTGTGGGGAAAAAAGGAGAGAATTTTACCGTAATTTAGGCTCATAGTAAAAAAAAATAAGGGGCGAATGAGAGCTTCGACCTCATCTCGTAGTATGAATGACCCCTCACTTTTACTAGTCCAGATTAAATTGAAAAAGTGAAATTGAAACGATTCTACTCACCGTATTCATGCCGCTGCCAGGCTAGCGATGCGCACAAGAGAGCCAACGTTTTCCCACTTCCAGTCGGACTTTCGAGAAGACAGTTTTTATTCTGCTTCAGCCCCTGGATGACCTACGGAATAATGAATGATAATGATAATCACATCAAGATAAGCCACCACTCTCACACACTCACCTTATTCATCATCGCAATCTGTGAGGGATAAGCCTTCGCCGGGAATTCAACTTTGACCCCGGAAATCGTATATGTCGTTGCATTCGAGCCTCCCCCTGCGGCACCCGACTCACCCACCGCCCCACTGCTAGCACACGTTAATTGCGTCATCTGCGACTCCATCGTGGTGGAAACGTTTGACACTAAAATTAAATTAAAAACTTAAAATATAATCAATCCTACTATAAATAAAATAAAATTGCAATATATTAATTCGAACCCTCATTTTTTACTAAGTACGCCTCCCAGAAACTTACCTTATCGGGGGACACTAATTGTAACAATGGCACCACTTATCAGCACCTTGATAAGTGCAAAAAAGAGCGAGAAAACGAAAATGATTTTTTCGCTGTTGTCGTTTTGTGCTGGGCAGTGAACAATGTGAGAGCGGAGTCCCTCTCCGTGTCCGTTTGAACTCGTTCCCTCCAAACTCGATGACTCCGCGCAACCTGTGCTAATCCTCCAAACTGGAGTGGTTTCTTCATGAAATTCGCCACATTTGACGCCACGTCGTGATTAACATGTCGTCACTCATGGCGAAAAGTTGACAATAAGTTGGTATCCACTTTTAATACGAATATTATAATGGTCCCCCATTTGTGAACAGATTGGCTACCTCATCATTTCTTAAAAGTCGCATCAGGCGTATTCACGTCAAATTGAGCATATCAACATAATTAATTTAATTTGCCATAATTTTGCAAAACTTGGCACGTTTTATCCATGCAGTGAACCACCCCCTGTCTGAAGAAGAAATTTCATACCATTTCGCAAAAAAAATCGCATCCACGTCCTTTTCTCCAGAATTTGCAAAATTTTCCCACGCAATATAAATAATTATGTCTTAAATTCTGTACAATTTCCCACATAAATAAAATTACACATTTCTATTTTCCCCAGAAATACAATTGTCCAGTCCTCCACATATTGTTGGCAAGATACGTAAATGTACACAACACGACGACGAGGTGGAAAAATAAGGTGTCATCCGCCATGTATGTAAATATGTAGATGAGACGAAGATATTCTCTCACCCTCCTTAAAATAAGTAGTAGTGTCATACCTGCAATAAAACAAGAGTTGACTACGAAATTGAGGAAGCTAGGGACACAAAATGAACATTTTTTACTACAGAACAAGTTTTGTTTCAAGCATTTGTCCATCTTGTATTTCACTGGAGCGAGAAAAGAAGGCTCCTTTTTATTTTAATCATTTTGTTTCCCCTCTGTCACTTTCTGGTTTAATGGGTGACATGCTTTTCGTGATGACTTTTTCCCTTTTCCGTTCATCTTGATGTGTCGACGAGGACGACGATTTCATTATTACATCCGTGCTAAGTTGGTAAGTACAAGAGATGAACATGCCCAGATTAAAGGAGCATCTAAAGGACCTTCTCTTGTTCTCCAGTTACGCTGTGCTTGATACGTGTCCCAGTCGGACATAAATTCTAATTTTATTGTGAAGAAAACAACAAGAAACTGATACACTTTCCGAGCCAAAGAGTCGGTCAAGTTGCAGACATAAAAGTAATGGCGTTGGTTATTTATTTCCTGCTGGTAAGAATAATCTTATCTGATCTAATCTAATCAAGGGCAAGAGGAGCATGGGGAAGGATTTCTGCAGTCGAATTATGACCTTTGACATCGAGAGCAAAATCGGAAAAGGGCCAGAAAAGTTTCTTAAGTTCGACGTGTCTCAAATAATGTTCGATTGTTGATTTTGCGGATCAAAATTCCTGATTTTTAGTCATAATTTCTTTCATATTTACGAATTTTCATGATTACTATTTACTGTAACATGCGTACAAGACAACTGTGTAAGGGTAATAAACAAGAGACAAACACTACTAAATGCAAATACCAAATCCCCACGAAAAATTACATCAGCTTGACGTGAGTAGATACACATGAGTTCTTTCGATAATTCTTTATACCTCTGTCAAATCTGGATTCAAATTCTTTGTTTTTAGCGAAAGCCAAGAATGCGCTGTTGAACATAAAATTTCTAAAAACTAATTTATCCAGTATAACCAGAAATTCAGAACTATTTTCCTCCACAAGACTTCCATCCCACGAATTAATAAAAGTATTCACAAACTTCATTTTAAAAAAAGTTGGTAAATAAAACAAATACGCGAGACGAAATGTCAAAAAACAAATAAATGCACGATTTACCAACCACAAATATTTATCTCGACCATTAATTCGACTCTCTTGTATTTGTGATTTCCCATTTTTGACCCTCGATCTTATGACTATGGCAAATACCATTCGAATGAAGTAACCAACATTTTTTACTCATTGATTGAAATCAATATCATAAATAAATTGTTGTGTGGCGAGGAATCGGTCGTATTATTATCGTGGCTGATTTTCATACCATCTTTTCCTCAGGCGAGGTGGGGGTCCGGCGTGAAGAATGGGGGGCCAAACTTGACACCGTACCCGTGGGTGAAAATATGGTCACATCCCTTCCGCAGGGTCCCGAAGGGTTGATGAAGTTCCTACCTGACATGATCACCATCATCGAAGCTCTGCTGTTTGTTGTTGCTGCTGCTGCTGCTGATAATGATGATGACGGTAATGATGGTGTTTGTAATAAGGGAGGAAATCATCATCTCCAACAATGCAATGTTCACTCATTGCATTGTTCTTCTTAATTCTTACCCTTTTTTCTTCGTATTTGGATAGAGAGAGAGGAGGAAAATGGGCCCAGTTTGCATAAAATTTACTACATTTTCATCAATTTGTAGCCACACACAATTCGACAGGGTTCCAACTGGCGACAAGTACGAATTGGGAACTTGTAGCAGAGATTCATTTTGTGTGAAGACTTTGTATAGGGCAAATTTTAAAAGATTTAGCATTCAAGATAGTAAAAAGTCGTACAAAAATGTATAAAAGTTGGCAAATTTGCACAGTCCAGTGTTTTGTATTTTGTCCACTTTCTAGCTCCGTAAAACTTCAAATTATTTCACTTTTAAGTAAAACAAGGCGCGTCAAAATTATGAAAACCACCGTGTTTTTCAAACCCTCTCAGTTCTGATAAGCGAACCTCGCATATTTGTTAAAGTGGTCATTTGTATGCAACAATTCCACCCTGTCCTGAATTAATCGGACCCATCCATTCCATTCCAGCAGCAGCAGCAGGAGGAGGAGGACGAAGAGCAGACTGCACTTATTCTTCTTCTCCTTTGTTCCCCTCGTTATTAGCGAGAGAACTGCGAATCTATGCATCAACTATTTAAATTGCCAACCATTAAGCCAACGTATGGATTGCAGATTAAGAACCAAACCAGCAAACTTATTGGGTGGTCATTCCCTGCGCGATGAATGATGCATGTAAATGCCCACCACGCCAATGAGCACCTGCTGGTGCCGTGGTGTAGATTGCTCCTTCAAGATTAATAATGTCGCCCGGTTTCGCATTTTCTCGACCATCCACCAATTTCGTCCATTATCGTCTGAACGCCCAGAGTTGGCAAATTTTGTCAGCCACTTCTGCCACGAGTTAAGTTCACACTTTGGCAGAAAAATTTATACCGGGCCGTCGTTCCTCACCAACGCAACGCCGTCTTGTAGGTGCTTATCTTAAGTGGAGGTTTTTTCTCCAAGTATTATTACACCTTCCAAACACGACAAGCTTTCTTGGCGTGTTTGCATATTTACTGGTTTATTTAGAGCTCCGATGTGTCACAAAATTTGCAAGGAGGGAATGTGAAATTAGCTCTTGGACAGGATACGTATGTACGATGGCATGTGGCACGTTGCAATTTTTATGCCTTACAGGACACACGGAATACGCCCAACTAGTTCATCATGCAGGGAGGGCTGTGCAAAGGGGGTGTCGCAGTGGGGAAACCCGTATGAAAATCGACGTGCAGTGAGAAAATATGAAGAACAGACGTATGCATAAAATCGTCCAGAAAGTTTCTACATTGGAAAATATCGAAAAGGGTAATCAGAAAAATCGTTTATAGAATGTAGAATTCTGACGAAACGTAGAATTCCATAGGAAAATGTGGGAACTTTCTGCTTGTCGATTTAGAGTCGGCGTCCCGTGTGCACGTATCTTCCACGACACGACCGTCCTTAAAGCAATTAAGAAAACAGGAAGAAAATACGTACACGTACATAAAATTAGACCAGCCAAGCATGCCCTGCACACCTGAAAGTGAGTGAGAAAGTATGAGAGAAGGTGCTAAAAAACTGCTTGTTTTACGAAATTGGTTTCTTGCCCGTCACACGCTAGAGGAAATCCTTGTTGCGTGTCGTCAATGAATTTTCGCACATGGAAGAGGACGGCCGGCCAAATTTTCACCAATTATTTCACCAACATAATAAACCCACCCTTCTTGTCAGTCAGTGAGTGAGTGAATGTATGTCCAGTCAGCGGAATGGAAAATTGACTGGGAGACCAATTTACATACACCGGTCGCTCCGCATGGACATGAAACTGATTGAAAAAGTGTGAAATTATTGAGTCTCTGCTTCGTGGATAATGAGGAGAAGAACAAGGCTCATCTGCTACTTGGTCAGCAGCCTTTTGGGGGGCAAAGCTTCCTTTTTCCTCCAAAGTGTGAGCACGTGAAGCACATTTACGAGAATAAATGATGTCCAGTAGCAGACGAGGCTTGAGAGTGAGGGAGGAAAATTTATTTAGACATGCACACACAGAAAAGATATCGATAACAGTCGTCACAGAGGTGGCCCATTCTCCAGTTTAGGGTGCCAATTGCTTTTTGGGTGGTTTTGCCATGTATTTGTACCTGTTTTGGAACACCAGATAAAAATGCTTTAGAATGGAGGGACTTTCACCCAGAAATGGTCCTTAGGCCAAATTTCAGCAAATACATGTGAGGGAAAAATGAGATCCAAATTACACTCTGCGTACTTTTACCACGATTTTTTACCACCGGCATGCCAAAATGTATTATATTTTGGTCAAAAAAAACAGTAGTTTAGAAAATGGCCAAAAGCAAGAATTATTGAAAGATGAGAAAAGTTTGTTTATAGAATTTCAATTTCATTTTGGACAGAATTTTACCATAATTTGTACCATCTTTGAAGTACCTATTTTTTCGTTTAAAAATTGTCTTTAAAAGACGAATTTGATCATAAAGGGGGATGAATCCCATCCGTTCGAAACCCTGTCGCCGCCTTGGGTCGTCTGCGAATGTCGGTGGTGGTGGTATCAGGTGCGAAGTGTGTTCTTGTGTTCGATCGTGTTCGGCCAAGGTGCTCATAAGTGGTTGTTTCTCAGACCATCATGCATTTTGAATGGGCCGAATTTTAGACGAGCCTCGAATTGTCCTCCTCATCGTGTCGGCACGAAAGGCAGGCGGATGGGTGGGAGTCCAGGCCGTGCGCAAAGGACGACCTCACCACCGCACGAGACAACACTTTGACATGTGTTC